TCTTTCCCCAGGACAAGCATCTTACAGCTCCCTGGAGGGTCTATCAGAAGACAGCTTTTCTTCACTTGATGAACTCGCAAAAAGGATAGAGATTGCAGAGGTAAACACTGAAAACTACCAAATTAAAAAAAAAAAGATTTAAAGATCTCAGAAATTAATAATTGAGATTGTACTTACCACTATTCGTATGTAAATGTTAAATATATGTTCCTATTCTGCACCTCCTCTTCTTAAAATGAAAAAAAAATCTGTTAATTTATTTGATCACTTTTTCTTCCTTTCTGAATTAGAACCTTTTATCCAACCTCAGGAATGCTTCTTAAAAGTCTCTAGTTGTTGGGTACTCAGCACCTTTGAAACTCATTGTGTATTGACTTGGAATATTTTCTCTCTATTTTCACCACAGAGAATTCTATTAGGAATGCTGAGAAATCATGGCTCACTCTATAATTTTAGAGCAGGATGTTGCATACTAAACTTGATGTATATAGATTATTTTCCTTTAACTGAATAATTGTTTCCATGTTTATTCATAACATAAAACTTGTTTCTCCTGCCCATTACCACAGGCAAGAGAGAGAGGAGAATTGCCAATATTATATATTGTGCAGCACTTAAAATCTGTTCATATGTTTTGGATGGCAAAATATTCACTACCAAGAAAATGTAATCAGTCAAATAAGGAGGGAAAACTATTGACTGAAAAAGTCTTTACCTACCTATTTTAGTTATTTACTTTTAATTTTTCTAACTGCAACCAATTTGGTGGTTAAAGCAGATGTTAATTAGGATCCTCTAGGGTTGGACAAAGGACCCATCACTCTGCACATCTAGTTAGTCCACAGTGAGGTTAAACAATTCTAAATATCAAATGCTTTTTTAAATCCTTTTAAAAATAGAAGGCAAAATGTGTTACCCTTGTCCTTTTGACCTATATTTGCACAGAGTAGACTGGTAGGTTATTATATTTCTCTTATTTTCAGGTCATGTTTCCAAGCTTTTCTTTACAACCAGGAGTCTTGTTTTAATGAAAGCTCTGAGTGTTATGTTAATTGTAATCCCAGGAACCAGGTTCTTTAAGAAAGGCATGTAGTAATGTAATGTTTCAGTGTCTCTTGTTTTTATATGCATTTATCTTAGCAACACTTTTTGTGGGTAGGGAGGTACTATTTCCCCTTTCAATGACAGGAAGCTAAGGCATAGAGAGACTAAGAGAATGTCTGTATGGCCTCCCTCCTGACTCTGGAATTGCCAGTGACAAAAGAAGCCCTGCTTTTGTGTTTCCATACACCCCTATGCCCTCCTGCATGATGGCAGGAAACACCAGGTATCAAGATAGAACTGCATTCAATTAGTTTGCTGACCTTCGGTTCCAATAGCGTCTACACGTCTTAATATTACACGTGAGCCAGCCATCTGCAGAATCGGAACTGGGTTGTGGAAACATCAGCATTTGTACACGTCAAACTAACTGATTTGCATATGTAGAACTTTGTCTACAAACTTTAGGAAATTTGACTCAAAGGGAACATACCTTACTGACAATCCAACCTGAGCTCTCTAGATGTAAATGCAGGAAACCTTCTTGGTATTGGGTTCTGGGGGCCCTGGAAATTCAGTATATTGAGTGGCTCATCTCAAGGGTTGTTTTTTTTTTATAGACGAGTTACAAGTTAATTCTGTAGCAGTTAATTGTTTTGTGTATGCTGGCTGCAATTGAAAGGCTGAAGTTTAAGTCCAGATTCTTCACCATGGGTGCAGGGGCATAGAAGCAGTGAACTAGTAAGAGAGCTTTTATGGGAATTCTTGTTTGATGCCTAATCTAACTGTCCAGCTCCCAGGGTTTGCAAATGTTGTGGCAGCACTATTAAGTTTCTGGAGAGTACCTTACTTCATTCAATAGCAGCCTTTCTGGCCAAATAAGGAGTAATGGTGGCTGGCTTCAAGGAGAGTCTTTTCTAGCCCCCCTTAGCAGAAGACCTGAGTTTGTGTAGCATACATCAGGCGTAAATGGAAGAAAGGAATCAATCTCAAAAAGATTTATAAGGTGGGATTGATAGGATCTTACATATTCTGAAATGCTTGTAAACTCTCAGCACAGCAGGGTGAATTCCAAACAGCACAGCTACCTGTGTTCTGTTTCCTTGTCCCCAAGTTGATCTTACTACTTAATGCTGGTTTGGAATTTTCCTCTCAGAAATACTGAGCATCCAAAACATCAGCAGGGGACAGCAGGTGCCACAAATGCTTGGCACCTCTGAGAAATCAACCCTCTAACTTGTAATTTTTGTTACTATTTTCTTTTTTTCTTAGCAGCGTTAAAAATAAGTTGGTACCATAACATTTTGTCACAGCACCAACTTATTTTTGCACCCAGCATAATACCTCTTCTTCTATCATTGTTGCTATTAAGACTTTCATAGTTTCATAGTAGCTAGAGTCAGGAGGGACCTGAACAGATCATCTAGCCTGACCCCCTGCCACAGGCAGGAATGAATGCTGGGCTCACAAGACCCCAGACAGGTGACCATCCAACCTCCTCTTGAATTTGCCCAAGGTAGGGGCGAGGACCACTTCCCTGGGAAGTTGGTTCCAGATTTTGGCCACCCTAATTGTAAAATATTGCCTTCTGATCTCTAACCTAAACCTATTCTCCATCAGCTTATGACTTTAAAGTTCATTTAAAATTTACAGGTGCCAGAGTGGCAATGGAAAAAAATTGAAAAAAACAAACCTTTTTAATACAGCAGATCTGTAGCAGGTCCGGTGCTGGGACAGCCAAATCACCCCCTGGTGGCTGCCTGGACCCTCCCTCTTTTTTGTCCCCTTCTGGCCTCTCAGGGTCCCACCCTGTTGTCTCACCTGCCATACTTTGATGTTGTGATTGGATAGGGAGGCTGCCCCTAGAGGCCAGGGGCGAGTTAGGCTTTGAGTCTTAGGACCTTGTCTGGGCTGAGGCCCTTTGGTCTTGGCCTATTTTACTGTACCTCTACCCAAGGTCTACTGTCTCAGGATCATGATCTCCCAGGTCTCATCTCTAGCCACACCCTTTGCGGGCTCCAGGCCCCTTGGCTCCTTCGTCTAATGGAAAGCCTTTGCTCCTCTGCTACAGCCTCACACAACAGTCTTGGCCTGCCGCAGTCTCTATTTGAAGTGACAGGGGCTTCTGGCTCCCTGTCACTGGGTCACAAAGGGCTATGTAGATCAACCTCATCTGAGTAAAATTTGTTATGGAGTAACTCTCAGCAAAAGTAATGGAGAACTCAGATTGGTTGGAAAGGAAATGTAAAAAAAACAATTCTTTCAAAGTAGGTAGCATATTTATAAACTAATGTGATACGGGTCCATCTAGTTGATATCATAACAAGTGGAGGTATTGACACCCCCAGTGATTTAAATAAGTATTGAAAGCACAGAGAAAATCCTATACATGTGTGTACTTTTATGTTCTTTGTAATTTAAAGCTTTTTCTTTATTTAAACCCATGTGGAAAGCAACGCATCGTCTCTCACAATACCCCACTCTAAGTCCCTTTTTTAGGCTACATTTTTAATAGGGAATGCAGTGAAGGCTAAACACCCTTCAATTTCAAAGACTGGTGAGAAAATGGATATTGGGGTCACCCAGTATTTGTCAGGGGAATGGTGTTTAGAAATGAACAGTAAAGTAAAAATAAAATGAGTAGACATAATTATTTTGATTAATCAAATTTAGAAAACACTGCAAAGAACTTGAACAAATTGATAGCAGACAAGTGTAAATAAGTGTGAGTCTAGCTTAAAGTAAAGATACCGGCTTCAAATAATTAGAAAAATCTGATGGAGTATGTTTACATTTGTTAGAGGAGGCAAAGACTGATGTGGGGGATCTCTTTTATTGGATTAACTGTATAGTTGGGAGGGATATAGACACAATTTTTGGTACCAAGTAGTTGTCCGCAAGCTTTCAGGCACTGATTATACTTCCTCTGTACTTGGTACCCAAAAGATTGTATCCTTCCAGCTATGCAGTTGGTCCAATGAAAGATACTGCATGCAAAAAAATCCTTGCTTCATATATTTCCTGGACAACTAAAAAAATCACCCCAGTGCTACTACCATTATATTTATTGCAAGCATTATATACATTAGTTATTTCTTCAGCACCAGATCATCTCACAGTGTTTGCACAACAATTAGTAAATATTCATCTTTCCAAGCAAAACTACAATAAAGATATAAAGCCTTATACCGTGCCATCATGATGGTTCAGGCAGACAAAAGCTTAACCAATCTATATGGTATAGTATATAGTAATATATAGTAGCCTTGAAGCTCACCAATCTTGGGTTCTGGAAGAAAATCACCAGAATCAGGTTTCTAAGATCAGCCTCTTCTTAGATAAACGTTGTGCTGTTTCTGAAAGGATCAGTAGCCATGAGACTGTAGCCACTGTAACAGGAACAGAAGTAAAGGTGCCACTCAGTCCTTTATTTCACTTGTGCTTAAAGGATCAGACTAGCATAATGTAAACTGAATCAATTTGGCATAGGTTTTTGTTATAAACTTCATATTTAAGTGGCCTGTTTTTTAAAGAGGTTGGAGCTGTCACAGTGTCAATTTTCTGCCAAGTTCTTTAATAGAAAATCCATTATGAGTTGAAATTAGTCCATTTACAGAAAAGCGTGTGTGTATTGTGTATATATGTCTATGTGTATATATGTGTGTGTGTGTGTGTATGTATGTATGTATGTATGTATGTATAAATTAGTGAAAGGCTTGAAAAATATACTAGATGCATGCTAGTCAAAGGCCAGTATCAAAAATAAAATCTTTCCCATTCTAGGTCCAGCAACTGTGCCCCGTTGAGACTCTTTCTTACTCTGTATGGCTCTGACACTGTTGTTTTAAGTTCAGCGGAATTAGTTATTACGGCTGTGTGAAGCTTTGGCCCCCAATTCAATTAAGAGGAGATTCAGCCCAATTCAGTGGCTGAATCTCCAAATCCAAATCGAATCAGGAGACCCTTTAATCTCTCCAAATTGAATCAGAACCCTCTGAATCGATTTGGAGAGATTTGGCAATTCAGACATAGACACAGCTTTAAATGTTTTTTTTCTACATACCTCTAGGTAGCAGGTGGCTCATGAATGCTGTGATGGTGGGGTGCGTGGACTATCCCACAGGAGCGCAGGGGGCTTCCCAGCACACTCGGCCACAGACCTGGAAGTGGACCAGAAGCACTTCCGGTCTACTGCCGGGGAGCGTGCTGGGGCCCTGCCCCCCCCCCGTGCCCCTCCAGCTTGGCAACTGGTGCCTCCTGGGTCTGGGGGGGCACCTGGTATCCCCCCTGCGACTGATCACCAAACCAGGGAGGGTGGGGGGACCCTGTGCGCTCCCCGGCAGACCCGGAATTGGATCAGAAGTACTTCTGGTCCACTTCTGGGTTCGCTGCCAAGCACATGGAGGGCCTCCCTGCACTCCTGTGAGACACTCCATGCATCCCAGCATTCACGAGCCACGCTGGGACCTCGAGGTATGTAGAAAAAACATTTAAAGCTGTGTCCATGGCCAAATCACTGATTCTCTGAATCAGCATCGAATCTTCAGCTTTGGATTCAACCAAATTGAATCAGGAACAGTGATCTGAATAAATTAATCTAATCACTGTCCCTGATTCGGGCCGAATCCGTATTGAATAGGGCTCACTTTGCACACCCCTACTAGTTATGTGTATGCATATATTACATTGTAACAGCATAGATACTTGAGTAAAAGGAACATCTTAGAAAAGAAGGGTGAGATAGCTTCTAATTATAACATGAGCAGCCGTGAGTGAACCTGCCCACTAGCACTTTTTCAACGTTTTTAATAATTCATGCCTCTAAAGTATTTTTGGTAATATTGGAGAAGAGGTTTTGTCCATTTTAGAGAGGAAGTGCTAATGGCTTAACTCTGAACAGCCTTGCCATTGACAGTTTGTTATACACTTAATGTTTTCATGTTTCTCTTTTAAATTTATATGTTGATATAAGTAGAACTGTAGATCTCTGTGATATAACTGTATTGAGGAGGAAACACTGCTGATAAATTATAGTTAGCTTATTTTCAGAACAGTTTTAATCCAAAATACCAAAATACTTCTTAAAACACCAAGGCCTATTGGCTGATCTCTGTTAAAAGTGCCTCCACTTTAAAAAAAAAAAAAAAAAAAAAAAAAAAAATTATCTCTATACATGTTGTAAATAACCCCAATACACAGACTAGGAAGGGGGGGAAATTAAACTTAAGTTTTCAAGGTACAGGACTTTATTTGCAGAATTATACTAAAGTGTTATGTCTACAAAGTATATGGATTGCTGGGAACTATTGAGGGGGAAAGCATATTCTGATTAAGATAATAGTTGTTTAGAATTCTTTAGTAAATGCTGATATCAACAGTTTAGAAAGGGAAATAATTTCATTAGCTAGCACTTAATTTTTTTACTTTTTTTCTTCAGTTAGCATGTTATGCTTCTATTTAAAATCCATCACCCTCGGCATTTTCCTTTCAGCTGAAAGCAGTCATTGGCCACTTCCCCATGAGCAGGAACATGCACTTTGCTGTGCATCAAAGGCTTTTGAGGTGCTGTAAAACGCACATGGCACATGTGAAAAGTGCATATTTGCAGTGCAGAGTCAAAAGTAGATACTGGGAAATCCTGGTAATCTAAAAAAATAGTTTAAAAAAAGCAGGACAGCACACGTGGCTGCAGCATGTGCTGCCCAAAACCAAAGCTTGGCCAGCCACAGCCCCACACTTTAGCTCCTGGCCAAGGTCCATAGGCCCAGATCAACACCGCTGCAGCCCTGGGAGGCCCCCAAGACCCCAAGTAAGGCTGCTGGGGCCAGCTCAGGTGCTGGCTCCAGCCTTCCCTATTCCACCCGGGGCAATTGGCTGCATGCTGGAGCGTACATGCAGGGGCAATCCCTGGGGACAAGTAGCAGCAGCACAACTATGTGTTGCTGCTATTTGTCCTCAGGGATACACATTTGCATGCTTATGGGGAAGTACCCACTGAGTCTTACATAGAAAGGAGAAAAGCTAAATTATTTGACAAAAAATAAATGGAAAAGCAGCAATAGTTACAGATTCACAGATGGCCCCAAAGGTTGCAATTCACATATTCATCTTTAACTAGACCCTACATAGTAATTGTAAGAATTCCAGTCAAATTAATTATGACGGGCAACAAAGCCATGGGAGTGAATTCAATCATATTCACTTTAAGGCCATCTTTTGTTTATTATCTAACCTTGAGTTTTAAAAAAATTGAAGTTAAAGTAGTCTCCTGGTTTATGTAGGGCCTTCTTTGACTAATGGCCCTTAATATAATACACAGGGAGTAGTCACAATGGTGTCCTAGGATCATGTGTAAACCTGAGATTTCGAGACTGTGGCCCAAGGCAGGCAGATGGTATGCCATAGTGAAATTACAATTCAAATAATTGAATTCTGCCTTTCTGAATTCCTCCTACAGCTGTTATGTTCCACCTAATTTCAATGGTAGCTGAGTGATCTGTTTAAGCACATTTCTCAAAATGCTTTAGGATCTTTCTGGAGGAAAGGTAAAGTATTAAAATGTGTTCCATTATTTCAATCAAATTATTGATTTTTAGCAGGACAGATGGATGGCATAGTGCTTATATGGCTCTTCAGGTATAGTGCAAATAACCTTTAACTATTTAATGAAAAGAAAAAAGACAGAGTGTAGTCAAGTAACTTCCAGGTGAAGGTAGCAATGCAGTGGGTGAAAATGTAGTTCGGACAAAGCAGGTGCCTATAGATGTGCGGGGACGCTGCTACAACACACTAATTACAGTGCATTGGAGCAGACTCCATTAATCGAGTCTGCTGGAATGTGCTAATTGGTTCTCTCCAGCAACCTCTGCATCTCATGTATTCAGCATCCTCACACTTCAAAATGGTGGCAAGCTTTAGTTAAAGCCCCCTTACCGCCATTTTGAAGCATGGGACACTGAATACACGAGATATTGTAGGGGCTTTAACCTCCAAAGCACATTTAAAGATGCCCGGTGTTATTTGGGTATGGTTAAGCCATTAAAATAATGGACTTGGTTTGTATGCACAAGTTCACTGCAACATACCAATTTTGTAGAAAAAAATTGGTAATCTGGCCTTGTTGCCATAAAGGGATGCTTTCCCCAGTTGATCATGCAGAGGAGTCACTCCTATTTTAGAGCCAAACAGATATTTGGTATGCTTTTAGAGCTTGCAACCCAAACAAAACTACTCAAAAACTGTCTCAAAAGCCAGCAGCCAAAAACGAAGAGCATCAACATTAAAGCAGATACCTGTGCAGTGGCACAACGCAAACTGTTCCCAGTACAGGCCAATAAAAATTAATCCAGGATCACTGGCTGGAATCCCTCTACTGAGTAGAATTTGACTCACTTATTAACACATATCTGGTAACAACCAGCCTGCCCTCTGGGCAGGTCAGCAAGCACTTGATCCTCTTTATCAAAAGCAATACGTGTACAGCAATGCAAACAACCTTCAAAAACTCCCTTGTCTTAAACCGTATGCTGCTTTACTCAGAGCAGTAAATGTCCTGCCCCTCCCAGTATCATGCTTAGACAGTTTAAAGGGGTATTGTGCTGGGTGTGATAAATTTTCATGACAGTTCTGCAAGGCTAATTTAACCACGTCAGTAAAAGATCTACCCCGATACAGTTGTGATAAGCAGCTTACAGAAAATTACTTCTGGTTCAGTTAAACTATGTAGCATTCATCTGCTAACCAGCTTCAACACTTTGGCTGTTTGTAAGCAATTGCATTTCCTGTTGTTTTATAAAATATAACAGCTCAGGATCTGAATTAATAATCAGGCTTCAGGGCATACCTCTAAGTACAAAAAAAGCATCAGAGATCAACTTTTTTTTTTCAATTTGCAGTTGCAGTTGTAAAACTTTAGCAGTACCTCTTTGTACTTATAGTTGTTTGGTATAACAATTGTGTGACTAGCTAATGGTTACAAAATACTAGTAATAGCTGAGACATCCAAATTTAATTACCTTTTACCAGTTAAATCATTGTAAGTACATAGTGCATCATTGGTGTAGTGCATATTGGTTTATGCCATTAACCTCTTTTGGTTTTTTAAACCCAGCGCTGGGAGCATCTTGTTTTTGTTCTCTCTCTCATCTGAGCACAGCATGTTTTTGCTGTATATGGCTCTCTATTGTGAGGTCATTTTGGAAACACAAATTATGAAATAGATCACTTTTACTTTGTATAGTGTCAGTATGTTATTACATCATCTGATATTTTGATTAGATGACAAAGACTTTTCTAGTTGATGGTCCTACTAAAAGCATAATATAGCCTAGAATGTGGATTTTTTAATTTATTAATTCGGTGAAAATGAGACTGACAAAATATGCTGGGT